AGTCGGCCTCGACTATCTAGCATCCGTCGCATATACGGCCTTGAATACAACCAACGTCAGCAGCGGTGTCATACTACAAGGCGGCTTTCCTTCCTGGCTCTGACATATGATGTGTACTTAATTGATTATGTCGGCCCAGCTTGGTCCCCTAGTCAGCGAAACGGCCTGCTCAGAATATCGTCTATCCACGCTGATAATGGACGATATCTATACTGGTGTTGCTTCTACTCAATCTCAGGAATAAGATATCTATTTATAGTAGGTTGGACATTAGATCATTACCTGTGTGTTGACTCGGAGATACTAACGGCGACTATATGGAGTGGGCCTCGATGGCTATAAGTTCGTGGATTCTAGCAGAATCGTTCTTCCATAAGTTGAGTCCACCACCACGTAACTCTCCAAATCCGTGCCTTTTCGTGTCACTGTATTCAAGTCACCGCGTAAGGTTATATCACACACAACGCGCTACCCCAAGTTCTCAACGAAGGTCTCCACGCCGAAGAGAAGCACACCAGATCCCTCCTCAAATCTAAACCCCGAGACCGAGTTCGTCGCAGCAAAATACTGACAGCAAAGCAGATTTGTTTACTCATCCACATTCCGTGAGCTTCACCAAACAATCCAACTTCATCGTGCCATTGATCAGTACACCAGCCACCAAGAATGTCACGCCCAGCTCCCGGTCTCAGGTCACATCTAGCTTACTCCAAGCCGGCAAGACCGTTTACACACCATACACAAGAAGACGAAACCCTTGGGAGAAAAGAAAACAACCTTGGACAAGTTTTACGCTGCAAGAAACATCGAAAAGTAAGGACCCAGGGACAAAACGCGGATAAAGTTCCACCTTGGCCAACGGATACACCATCCATAGATGATCTCATCTTAAACATCAATGACTTTCGTCATGACTATAGCTCAGGATACATACGACAAAGTCTGGGTATCATCTGAGCTGTGATCAAGTAAGGTATCACATCGCACTTGGCAAGAGAATCCGCGAGAGAGACCTAGCAAGATAACCTCCATACCCCTTCAAAAACTAAGCAGTGCGGTCATCACTCCAGGACCCCTTTCGTCCCCTCTCCATAGCAGCCACTCTCAAGAAGATTGGTCTTCAGTGAGTATTGAAATATTACACACCTTACACACGGTTCAAGGTTAATGGCTATCGTGTTCTTCAAAAGGCCTAGCTATCTTTCTGCTAAAACTTCTCCCTCTTCCGCGAGCAAGCAACCACGAAGAGAGAGGGGGGTTTCACTAGGCCGGGTATCAGGAAAGAAAAAACCTTGGAAATGCCTCAAGAAAACGCCATCATCATGTCCGTAGAGAAAATGCATAACCCCCTTCCCTCAGAGCCTCCAGCGTATCTGATAAATCATTGCCCTCGACCTCTCTCTCCATACCTCGATTTGGCTCCTCACCGTTGCCCTTCTTCAGAGAAATCGGCCTCTCAAAAGATGAGAACGTGCTCATTCTTGTCATCCCGACTGATCTCGTAACTCAAAATACTATGATCCCGATAATGGAGCATAAGCCTGTACCGTCTCGACGCAGGCGACGGCATAGCCGCATCATCAGCACGCAGTAAACACCCCGTCGCGCCGCCCTCCTGAATCGGACCAGCAGCGATGCCATAGAGTCCCCGAGGCGGCCGACGTCCTGCCTTTTCGTCCGAGAGTGTTGGCAGAACCCGGTCAATCCGGAACCCTTGCTTCAGCTTATACCCGTTCCCCGGGATGTGGTAGCGCGAGCGTGTCGGGGTCAGCAGTATAGCACGACCCATGGCGGATCCGATCACCACGAGCGACAGCTCCGGAATGTGAAGAATCATGTTGAGCCGCTCGGAATGCTGCAGTAAGGGGTGAGGGGGGTACATCCAGCTGATCGGGTCCTTGCAGAAGACCGCCGCACCGTCGTCTGGGTTGATGCTGCGCATCTCAATGTCCTCTTCGTAGGTTCGCAAGATGCAGCACCGGTTGCCCAATTCTTCAAGGGCGCTCCTGTCCTGCTCCCTTGTGTTTCGGTTCTTTACCAGGGGTCGACGAAGATACTGGAGGCGTCCAATGACTGTCGTTGGGGCAACGTACGTTTTGCCATCGTGGGGCGTATAGACCATGTCCAGCCAGGAAGATTGGAATTCGCTCATGTCGTAGTTCGGCGTGTTTTTGAAAAAGCTGGAAAGCATCTCAGGCGGCGAAATTTGCGTCATGCCCTCGCCAGACCCAACGTTTTCTTCCGTTGCAGAAAGCGCCTCCTCGATGAAGACAATCTCATTCGCATCCTCCCCGATGGGCCCACCCACGTCATCATCTTCGCTATCAAGAGAAGAAGAAGACATATCGTCCCATGCTGCGACCGGGATTTCTTCCTCTTCGCTCCATCCGTCGTCATCATCGTCTTCGTGATCCGGGGTGAACAGGACCGCATTCTGTGTCGCTGGGGCTCCAGGAGGGACAATAGCATTCGCGGGGGGTACAGCACCGCCGCCTGCATTATTACCATTGTCGGCTGGTGCCGGAGGAGGGGGAGGAAACGGCGGCGGTGGAGGTGCCGGAAGTCCGAGAAACTGCTGATTATTTAGTATAGCAGCTAGGAAAGCTGGCTGTTGATGCTGGAACCATGCCGCTCCGTGGTGATGGCCGAACGCTTCCGGTTCCGGCATGCGTTGAGCGATCGGCTCCGCAGGATGATCGCGAATGCGAGAGAGGCCCCGTTGGGTCTCAATCCATCGCCCAGCGTGGGAGTTTTTAGCGTTCATGATGTCTGACTCCTCCATGCCCAGGAGGTCTGTCACAGATCGTGCGGGCAGGAAACTCTCGTACGGAAGGACAATGACGCCCCAGCCCCTGAAATTGAATTAGCAGAGGTGACATCAAAGTGTCTGAAAATGGCCTACATTGGATTACGGAATGCCCATTGCCCTTGGACGTTAGCTCTGTGCGATATCTTGAACGGCGCCGTTCCGGCCTTCCATATGTCCAAGATCCAGGTCGTTCCGTAGATATCATTCGCAACAACTTTCTCAGCGTACCCATGATGGTCGTCCCAGAGAGAAAGATTGGGGATGTTGTGACCCCCTTCACCCAGGGGTATGCAAATCCTCCAATTTCGTTTCCTCTTGAGAACCGATCTTTCGCAGTGATCTAAATGTCTCGCATGACAATCCATTTCCTCGGGCAAGCGGGAGAGCCCAAAGGCGAAGACGGTCACTTCCCGCTTGTTGGAGCTAATGGCGATGAGCCGCGACTTTTGATGGATCGCGATCCCCCATGCCGAAATACCCACGTTCTCGCGCAAGAAGTACGTCGGCACGGGATTGGGTTCTCGACAACCGGACGCTATGCGCTCGATATACTTTGCAATCTTCCGGACGTAGTACGCGAAAACCGACCCATCGTCGTAGACCGAAACGAGGATTTCCTCTCTCCCGAGAAACCCGACGGCGATATGGTTGATCTGATGGGAGAAGCGCAAATTCAGCGTGCCTCCAATATGTCGCGCGATCTTGTCAGGCTTCGTGGCCAGAATGAGGTTCGGCTCCCGAGGGAGTGCTTGTTGCGGGATGCCCTTGGGGCGATAGACGAAGATTCGGTTTTCGTACGCAGCGAAGTAGAGCTAGGAAAGGGGGGAGTCCCGTTAGCCAAGTGGTCGTCCCTCACGGCATCCGACGAAGCGGGAAGGGGAGATCCAACATTGTATCTCTGCGACAGAGCTGTCAGGTTGTTCCTAAAGTACGGCGTCCTTGGTATCTTCCTCTCTAAGGACATTGGTTGTGAGCTGCCCGCCTCCTCATCCTCGACACCCGTTACAATCTGGTCAGAAGGGACGCCCTGCACAAGGGTGTCATTCTCGATGCCGTTGACGTGGTCGCGCTCGCGTTGCCGGATCACTTCGGTAGCTCCGTCGCCAAACTAACAAAGTAGAGTCAGCATGCAAGTCGATACTAGGAAAAGCTGCAGAGGCCTCTCGCGTTGCCCCAAAGAAAACAAAAGCAGAGATGCAAAGGAAGCAAAGTTGCGTCGTACGTACCCGATCAACACAGGTCTGAACCTGACACTTCCCCAACACAGCCTCGCGGAAGCCGCGATCATGATACTGACCCTGTTGGCCCGCCATCTACCGCACCTTGGAGTCTTTCTCTCCCTTTCGCCTCGCGCGCAACATACGAGCCGCCCTCCCCTTTGTTGTGGATTTGTTAAAGTATAGAATCTTGAGGCTTTGCCTGTTCCCGATGGGAAAAGAAATACACTGCCTTTTGCGACGATCGAAAAAGTGTGTTTGGCTGCGCGAAGAAAGTTGGGTTGGTGGAAGGTGAGGTCTGGAGAATGGCCTCTCCTCATTCCCCCCCGCCGCAGCTCATCCGCAGCTTCCCTCTGGCCGTTTGTCGTCAACCCACACACACCACCACCGTCCGGGACCTCCCACCTCCAACTCACGCGCGCGGCGGCACACCCACTGAGGGGTGTTGCTCCACTTTAATTTGCGGTTATCGATAAGGTGATGGCCTGATGACGGGACCTGACGGGAAGTCGGGCGGGTGGCACCTGCGTTTTCCATTCCATTGCTTTATCGATAACGGAAGCTTTCACAGAGGGTGTTGGGATCACCTTGCTGGATTGCTTGTCTGGAGAGGAGGGGTCGATTGTTTCAGCGAGCACGTTTTGCGGGGAGGAAACATTCCAGCGTATAAAGGAGGGCAGCAGTACCTACCTCGTCCGTAAGCTTCAGCACCAGGACTTATAGAGTGGCGTTGAAAGAAATCTTTGGTCACGGGTAGTGGTCGTACCTTCAGGCCAAAAGACAGATTAAGCATCAAGGCCACGGACATGCCATCCGACCAATTTTCCATCACCACAACTACTAGAGACCATCCACGGACCTCGTCCTACCACGTGGACTAGCAGGATCAGCGCAGACAAACCAGTTCATAGTAACAATGCTTCGCGTCACCAATGGCGAATGCCTCACACGGGACGAGCAAGGGGCCGAGAATTCATCCAAGGAACTCCTCATTCATTGACTGCATGGCCATTCATGAATCCAATTGCTTACATCAAAATTGTCATCCTAATCCCAACGTTTGGCTTCTTCGCCAGTTTTTATGACATGATCGTCAGTGACCGTCTAGCTCGTGCCTGACCAAAGCCGGGTATCCGAAGCTGGCACTCCCAGAGTAAAAAAAACCAAAGTGCCTATAGTAAGAACCATTCCATAAAACGCCATTAGGGGGGAGTGGTAAAAAAAGGGGGGGAAACATTTTCCGTCACTCGTGTCATCAAATACACATCGTCGCCAAGAGCTCCTCAATGCGCGACTCTAGCAGGCACACCTGTTCACCATCCAGCCAAAACTGCGGAGCGCACTACGCCCTCATAATCTCAACCATGTCCTTCATCCGGTAGTCCAGCACGGGCGTGACCCAGTCGTCCTCGACGAGCGCATACGTCTCCTTGACGTTATCCTTTGGCTTGCGCGGGTTGACGGCCCAGTACCCGAAATCGGCGTCAATGACCTTGAGGTAGCGCAGCAGGTTGTTCCAGTAATTCGCGTCGCCGATGCTGGGCTGGTGCGGTGCGCCAAACTCGCCCACCCACACGGGCGCGACGTCACCCTCGACGAGGTAAGCCCAGTTGTGCCGCATGGCCTTCACAAAGGAGGCGTACGCCCGCTTCGAGTATCGGCCCTCGAGGCTGCCCCAGCCGGACCAGGCGTACACGTGGGCCGAGTAGACGACGCGGTCGGGCACGTCGAGCACGACGGGCCGCTTCGCGACGCCGGTGAGGTCGTTGCCGGACTCGGTGCCGCCGACGATGACGAGCCAGTCCTTGTTCATCTCCAGCAGCCTGTTGCCGGCCTTCTCGGCCGCCGTGGCCCACTTGTCCCAGGTCATTGTGCCCCACACGCCGCGCACCTCGTTCCGCAGGTCGACGCCGATGACGCCCGGGTTGTCGACGAGGCGGAGCATGATCTTCTCCCAGTGCTGGATCCAGTCCTCCTCGGTCTGCTTGATGCGGCACAGCGGGCCGAGGTGGTCGTTGGCCCAGTGGGCGTCGCAGGGGTCGGCACCGCAGCACCAGGTCGAGTGCGTGATGTGGTTGTTGACGATGACGGCGATGCCCGCGTCCGTCAGCGCCGTCACGCAGGCCTCGAATATGTCGAGTGCCTTGAGACCAATCAGGTCCGGGTTGGCAGCGACCAGCTCGGCCGGGATCGGGGGGTCGGTGATGACCATCTCGTCGCTGTAGGGCAGGCGGACGCTGTTGAAGCCCAGGCCGCGAATGGTCTGCGCAATGACATCGCGATGCTGGACGTCGAGTCCGCCGGGGATGTTGAGCTCGTCGCTGGCACCGTACCAATTGACGGACAGGAGCTTGAAGCGACGTCCCTCCTCGTCGACAATGTCCCGGCCCTTTGTGTGCAGCGGCAGCGAGTACGTGTCGATGCTGGTCTCCTGTGCTGGAGGTAGGAGGGGCCGCTGCTGGAACAGCTGAGCTTCCGGGTCGGGCACCCAGGGGACACCGAGAGCAGCCTCTGCTTTCCACAAGTAGTGGACGTAGCCGCCGAGGAAGACGAGGGACAGTATGAGAAACATTCTAAAGGACGAGAATCTGACGAAGCCGAGGTGGCAGGTTCTCCTTCTTAATTTCGAATGTGTTGTTGCTGTTGGTGAAGAGGGCTGGGGTGAGGTTGAGATCTTGCGGAAGAAGAGGCCGGTGGAGGCTCCATGATCTTCGGTTGTCGCAGAATTGTCTATGCTCGGGAGGTAGACACCACCTCTAGCTGGCGGAGTGCTCGGTTGCTCGATGTCATCAATCGGCGTCCCAGGTTGGGGACGTCCCGCGCTCCAGCGCCAAACCCTGGCCGGCGTGCCGGGGTTCAGCTTGAAGATCTCGGAAAACGGCATCACTAATGTTCCGATAAGATAAGCGATAAGGTTGGGTTGTGGAGCTTGTGGTCCAATCAGTGGAGTCTGGTGTCACCACCTTGAGAGCTGAGGTGAGTCCGCTGAGAGGCTCCCCTTGGCGGGATCGGGAAGCGGTGGGCTTGTGCGGGAGGTGGTGGGTGTCAAGCCGGGCCAAACTAGTCCCTTTCCAGCGCCAGCCCTGCTGCAAGGACAAAGCCTCAAATCCGACGGACGACGGACGGGTGGTGCGGACTGCAGAGCTTGTCCCGACGATGCCGATAACCTAACAAACGGGCAAGATGACCTCACACACCTTGAACCTGCCCGTTTTCTGCTTTTGCTTTTGCTTTTGCTTTCTTCCTGTAACGAGGTGTTCCTTACTTTTTGATCTCCTTGAGAGACTTTAGCCTGAGCAGGGTATAAGAGTGTTTCGACCACGTGCTCGGGAACGCAACGCTTCAATGTTCGGACTGCTCGTTTCGTTTCTTCGAGACGTTCCCTTTTCGTCTCGTTCTGATGTCGTCCGGTGAAATGCTCACACCGGATACGCGTACAGCCCTTGTAGACGTCAGGCCGTTTCCGTCTTGGCGGTATTGACAGGTTTTTTACTCTCTGTCTGATTTCCTTCCCTTCTTTTTCCCCCCCCTTCTCGGCCAGGTTCCGCTATCGTCCGTGGTTTTCGCTTTCGGTATGTTGTTCGATTCCACCCAACTTCCAGGCCAAAATCTCAATACCGTCTTCAGTCGTTGGTGGTCGACAGTTTTGAAGCTGACTGAAACGTTTTTCTTCTGTTTCGTAGTTCGTGGTGGCTTGGGTCAAGTGAAATCAAAAACCCAGTCGGTTCAGTATTTGAAACGATAACTTGATGAGTGTCCTTGTTGGTGTAAGCTAGGATCAACAGTTCGTCGTCGTTGATGCCTTGTCGTCAGAAGTCATGCACACGTTTCGGTCAGAGTCTCTCAGTATAAATGACGAGACGTTTTTTTGATACAAGTGTAAGAAAAAAGGGGTTACACTCGTCTGTGAAAATTCCTTCATTTTGGAAGCCCAACCTACTTATAATCAAAAGACTGGGCAGATGAGTGAAAAAGTCCGTCCACCGCCCGAAGAGTCAATCTGCTTCTCCACCGTCAGTCAGGACCTGGGTCTCCGAGCGGAAGCATTTGCAATGGATTGCGGAAGGCATTGGGATGCAATGGAATTGGATGACATGGCACTTGATCAATGGCTCGCTCCAATGCGATTGCTGAGATTTGTTTGGCCCCCCTCCGCTGCTGCTCCTCGCATCACTCGTGAAAAACCCCGGCCATTCCGCATCTTCCGGGCGGGCTTATCCCATAATCCCACCCACAACAACACCACCACCACCACCATCCTTGTTCGGTAGTTTCCTCATGTTTCCACCCATTGGGCCGTTGGAGGGACTAAGGACATGCACAATCCGGTACTTGATAAGGCCATCTCGCATTAAATTGTCGCGTGACTCTTCTGTTTTTCGGACTCTCAACTGCTCCTACATGTCCGTCAATCGTGATTCGTTCCGCCGATCCCGTTCCCTCTCCCGCCCCGATACTGAAGCGCCGAGGCCCATGGCCCCCATCCATCAATAATCAATAAGAGAGAGGCTCCCGCCGCCGACCTTCCCACAATCCTTTCCTTCGGGTCTTTAAATTGTGGGGGCAACGTACTCTTCGCATTCCTTCGCGGTATAAACGAGACCGAGACGCCGACGCTGATATTACATTGATTTTTTCTGACATATTGACATGGCCGACGAGGCCGGTGGTTCCTCCACATTACATCATCTTTCTCAGATTCTTTTTGCGACACTGGTCAGCGTTCACCGTCAGCGCGGATCAGCGCGGGCAAGATCGAACTTCGGCCGAATGGTGCCGCTCCATTTAGGTTGTCGGGTATTGTTGCGCGCGCGCGCTTAAAAGCAGGCGCTTGAAATATGGTTTCATCCGATTTCAGACGCATTGTTCTCTCCGTTTTAATTTTCTTTTCTTCTTCTCGTTCCGTCATGACCAGCCGCTTCGTCTCATCATATACGGTTCATCCCAAGTGGGTTCATGTCATCGAAGCCGTCCCCTCGGGATCGTGACTCGGGCCGAGCGTAAGTTGCTCGCGCATCCCAGGTGGGAGGTGTTTGCGGCGGTCGAGGACTCGAGAACGACCGCATCGGCGGCTGATAGCGAGCGGTCTGCCCAAAATAATCCGGCGTTCTTCGTCGTTCGCTGTTGGGACTTACGATGGGGGATTTGACTGGAGAGATTGGTGTTACAACAGCGCTCGAGTCTCTAGACAGCATCTCGTACGCACGTGTGTCTTTCTTGACATCGTATCTGGCATCCACCGATACGAATTCCTTTTTGTTTCTGCCTAGGCAGGAGGTGAAGAGGTCCACCCAGCCAAGGACCATGGCCCAGCGACCCAATAGGAAGAGCAGCCAGATACCATTCATCTGGATCAAGTCAGTCACCTGTGAAAATGTACAGGGCATAGGCGCGCGTCACTTACCGCCAGAAGAATCAGGACCGCCGTAATAGTTGCCTCGTTGACAACCATGTTCTTAGCCTTGTCCAAGCACTTCGTCCTGTCACCTTTGGTGCTGACAAGACAGAGGATCCAAGCCTGGGCTATGCTCTCGTCGTCATGTACTGCCTGGACCGTGTTGTCCTGGAATACGAAGACGACAGAGAAGAAGATGACGTCGGCAATGATGATGAGAACAATAGCAATACCTCGCCATTGGAGAGAAATGACACGTCGCACTCGGCGGTATGCTTGACGGGGGCTCATCGTCTGGATGCTATTGCTGTACGTGGGCAAGCTCGACCCTTCTGTCGACGCACTGTTATCCGCCAGGGAAGCAAGATAGACCTTGATACAATATCCGAAAGTGGCGAATTGAATGATGACCGTGAGACCGGCGAATACCAGCAGAGGTATCCAGAAATCGGCAAGACTGTTCTTGTGGTTGATGTGACAGGTAGCGCCAAATCGGAACGACACGCCACTGAAGACGAGGGCAACGACGATGCCAACAAGTGGGATACCCCAGCCCGTAGCTTGGGCAAAAATCATAAAGTTGCGGCCCACGACAACTTGCCAACAAATCTGGAGATGCAGGGACAACGATCGCAAGAATACCCACATGACACCGGCCCAGCCTCCGAGCAAGAGAAAGGCCCCAGAGGCACCGCAGACTTTGCTAGACTTCATGCTGTGCGGTGTAATGTCGTTGTAGCATTGCTCCGGTTGATCGGCAAGTGGCACGACGAAGCCAAGCTGAGGGGGAAGTCAGTCTCCCTCGTCCCTATTCGAAGGGCGGGCCACTTACGTTCATGATGAACACAGCTATTGTCAGGCAAATGCTGAGGTAGTGTCTATATGTTTTATCAACAGGCAGAAAAGCCCATGATATCAGGAGGAAGAGGCAGCATGCTGCGCTAGCGACGCAGACCCAGTTGGCTGCCGTCGTCAGAGTGTTGAAGTAATCCGGGTAGACCCAGTCTGTAAGCGGGCAGGGCAAGCAACACTGCAAGGTCGCGGTCAAGTTTTGGCATAGTCGGCCCTCGATAACTATGAAAGGTCAACAACTTGACCCGTCATGCTGTAGCTCATCAAACTTACACCCTTCGTCGATTGGAAACAAGCTCGCAGAGTAGAATGGTATGGGGCAGCCTCCCCTGGCGAGAGATTCGTTGGCCATGGTCGAATTATAGCTGACGGGCGGCTGAAATATGTACGGCCGTTCAAATTTCCGTTCGTGGTCGAGTCGGACAGCCGCTCGATGATGGTCCTGTTCCAGTGGCCGACACTATTTTGGACAATGCGTGGACGAGTATCGCAGTATAGCAATAGTGCTCAAGCGTAGAAATATATCTATCGTAGTAGTGACGATCGTGGTACTGACGGCTGTTTTCGGTGCCGGATGCCCTCTCAATGGCGTGTAGTTTGAATAGTTTCCCCCAGTAACGTCCTCAGTCCCGCTGAAGTCCAAGTTTTGTCTTGACTTGAACTGTATCCCAGATATTCGTGTATGTTCCGGGGAACTAGGCAGGGCGAGCGGCGTATAAGTCGTCGGCGAGATGTTGCAGCATGGGACAGAGACGTCTCTGGCTATATGGCTACCGTCATGGTCCGTAATTGGAGCTGACAGGACAGGTCAGGGCGAGGCCGGTTGATGGTAGCGTAGCAACAGCAACTCGGGGTATCAAGGAGAGACGTGAGCAGAAGCAACGACGAAGAAGCCCAGAACCGATCAAGAGGACCCTCGAGTGAAAAGAAGGAGGGTGGGACATCATTATGTACATCGATGCGTGGGCTACTGGGTAGCGTCCGCTCAACTTTCTGCAGAGGCGTGTGGGTGTGTGGTGTCTGTCTGTCTGTCTGTCTCTCTCCTTCACTCGGGCGCTCTGGTGTGGACTTCGTAGTGTACTCCGTACCATCAGGTTCAACCAGTCGCGGCGCTGGTCCCAGGGTCCAGGCCAGAGATGCTGGGGTACCACGACTCCACGGGCCAGGCAGGACTCGGGAACGGGTATTTTGGGTGTAATGGGTCGGCCAACTCTGGGACTAACATGGGCGGGCTACTTCGTAGTACGTGTAGTTGGGCGTGGACAGGGGCCAATTAGGGACATAGACTAGGTGACGATGATGGGCGTCCTTGTAGGAAAAATCCCGACGACCCTCTCTGGCGGCGACGGTGGGACGGAACTCTGTGAGCTTCGCGTGAGGCGATGCATCGTCGTCTGCATGCCCTATTGGGGAGGCCACAGTCTTCAGGGCAGGGGTGTGTAGGTTAGCGTGAGAATGGAATTGAGGGATTGATGGACCAGGCCCAGGATGGAAGAGAGGCACAGGCACAGCAGAAAGAGAGGAGGGATTTCATGGCCTTCCATTGTGTTGTTGGATTCGATGGACGGAAGGGGGGGAGTGAAGCCTGGTGGGGTAGGGTGTGGATTTGATGGATGCCGACCAGGGACTGGGAAGGGGAAAAAAAGAAGCACCAAAAGGAGAGGAGAATTGGAAGAGGAGGAGCACTTGATGGAATACCTCAGCAGAGGGACGGACCCAGGAGAAGGAGGAAGAGGAGGAGAAGGAAAGCCTGGAAGAGGGGGAGGGGTGTACTTCGCAATCACTGTTGTGAAAGGGGGGCGTGGGCGTGGGACGTAAATGTGGGGCCTTGTCAACAGATCCACATCGGCGGCCGGGGGACTCTCGACCTGGCCGGGCTGCTGTCGTGTGGCCGGGAATTCCACCTCCAGACTGCTAAGGTACTCCGTACTGCGTGGCTGCTCACCTCGCTCCAGTTAAGGTGCTGCATCTTCCGTGGCGGACCAAACCCTGGATGCCCATTGAGTAACCCCACCAGCAGAGAGACCAGTCAAGGCCGCAGACAGGCCTCAACGAGGGTATTCAGTGGATCTTTCTCCCGGTGTTGTTCAGCACCTGTCCACAGTCCACGGCGTCCCGCTAAATATTTCACCACTCACAATGCGCACAACCCGTGTCGACAAGTGTGCTGAAAACATTCCTGAGCACCTTTACGGAGTATCACCCAGATGCAATATCTCGGTTGGCTTGAAATGTGCTTCTGCAGTCCCTCATTCATCAATGCCTTTCATCACGCGAAGGGGGCACATCACGAATTGCCCCTGGTTTGATGGGCACCATGCCGTCCAATTTGCCTTCCAACATCTTGTCACTCTCTTTCCATGACTCTTCGTCTCTTGGACTGCTCAGCTCTCCTTCCATGATTGTCCATCCTGTTCCTGTCAAGTTGGCATATAGTGGGCGGTGGCGTTGCCCAAGGCAGGTTGAGGATGGATACTCCGTACCTTCCAGGTTGAGTATGAAGACCTTCCGTGTTGATAATAAGGCAACCAAGGTAAGCTGGTGAGGAAGGCATGGAAGGAGTCACGCCTTCTCTGCGGTTGCCCGTCACCCATGTCCCGTGTCAGACATGACATAAGGTAAAGTTCGATGGCTGAATTGGGAAAGATCACTGCGAGCCCCTCGCACTCCCCTGCTTCCGTTTTTCATGCTCTTCACCCGTCGAGCCTATCATTCGAGTTATCCAGCTAGGCCCCTGTGATGTGCTCTCTTGCCGCCGTGGCCGCTGCACGCCGGCCGCCGCCTCTACTCAACCCCAACCGCGTGACCCAATCTTGGACCACCTAACGACCTCGATCTAAAAGTTGACCTCGATTCAATCCTCTCGCGCTACGGATACCGCAGTCTTTCGTCTCTACGGAGATCTTACTTCTGGTCTGGTCTGGTCTGGTCGAACAACATTCGGCAATTCGATCCCCAGAAAACTCAAACAGAGCATGCCGCACATGGCTTTTCAAGGCCTCCCGCCAACCCAATCGAGGGCTTTCACTAGCAAATTCCAACAGTGCCGTGCTCTGCCGATGCCACCTCACCTCAGCCTCTACCAACCGTTCATGCTTTGGGGCTTATAACACGCCCAGCTATCGACGCTGTCTACGCTGTACACATGGTGTGGCGCGTATCGGATGCACCACCGACCGTCAGTTGACTCAGATCCCTCACCTCCATCACCGACCGCTCCCTCGGCACGGCAGCGAGCGAGACATTGCCAGTCGAATGTCTCTCACTGACGTTTCCCTCGTTGCAATGCGTCTGCATGTCTCACCTTAGCCCTTGCCATCACGAAGAGCCCGGTGACAATCATGGCTCGGCTTCAGCTTTGCCCGGCTTCTCTCACCGCTTTAGCTTTGCTTCCTGACTTTACGATTCTCTTTGGCGATACCTCCAGCAACGAGATGGATCGAAACAAGCCGAACAAACTACTTTAGCCATTCCCCATTGTTTGGTACTCGAGCGAGCGTTTCGAAGGCGGCTGAGCCATAGCTAAAAGCTGCGTGGCTAGTGCCCGCGAGTCAGCTGAACAGCGGCTTTTTGAAATCCCAGCCTTCTGGTGCTGCTGGCAAAGTGCCGAGAACGTGCGTGCATCTCGCTGTGCACAGACAAGTTACCAAAGCAAAAGGAACCAGAAGTGACGCCTGGTGCGCTTCTTCTGTTTGTGTACCTCGTCTAATCGGTCTGTTCCGCGACCAAGAATAAACGCAACATGTTGACGACTCTTTGCCACGTTGGCCCACATTCAAGTCCGGACGTTGCACTTTACTGCCACTTCGCAGAAAACGCCTCTTAATGTCTGTCAATATAGTCCTGGGCCACGTCAAAGGCCCGACATGGCACCCCTGGACTTGCAAAGCCGTAACACTTCTATGAATTCTCTGTACGGAGTACGGATACCCACGGCTCGTGCGTACTTACATAGCAGAGGGAGGGCAAAAGCAGCCAGCCGATTTTAGGGCTGAGCAATGCCTTGCCTGTTGCGTCGCTTGTCCAGCTGAAAGGGAGGCAAACCATCGGCTCCCCTTGCTTGTCCGCAGGAACCTCATGTCTAGATCTTCTCAACGGTGAGAGAAGCAAATGTGCCAAATCCGAGAGAGACACAGAGGAGACAAGCAAGGAGGGTTTCACGTACTGTCTCGCAGAAGTCTCGTTCCAACCTTCAACCAATACGCAAGAGCGAAGCCGCCAATGTGCCAACTGCGACTAACGTGGTGGCTTCGGTACTCAGCAGCTAGCACACATGCGACGAATGACCACCATAGCAGAAAGACAACGATCGCTAGCAACGTGCCTCCGTGGACACCCGTCTTGGTCTCCAACCAGCTCCAACTATTCGGAGAGTGTAATGACGATCTTGCGATTCGGCGAGGGAAGAGATGCTAGCAGTGATGCCCATTGCCCGCAACGAGTCTTTCGAAGACCTTGCTGTTGTTGGTTGCAATGTTCTCAAGGGCCAAGACCAACAAGCACACCCAGAAAAGGGGGCTCCACTGCTCATTTTGCCAGGCGCTTTCAATCTCAAGAAACCATGCTAAGGCATGTCAATTGCCATGGCGTTCGTAGCCCTGTCAGCCAAAAAGAGATCTCTGGGGCAAGATCCCGGCGTTCCATCACTTTGGATGGATGAATGGATGGCCACGTACGGAGCAGATTGACCAAGAGCGCGCACAAAGACCAAGCTTGCTTCCTAGCAGCCTGGAAGGCAAGTCTCGGCGTTCAGCTCGCACTCCACCTGGATCACGAAGCGCTACAGCTCGAGGTTAAGGTGGCCATGATCGTTGCGGTCGTCAACGATTTTGTGACCCGAATCAATCGTCAGCGCGCATACGCCGCCGAGTCTTCGTATGGGTGTGCCGTCCCCGAGCCTCTCAGAGCTCACGACACGATGGGAAAGATGTGAATGGCCAATGTGTCTCATTGCGTTGCCCATACGAGCCCCTGCTTTGCAGATCGATTGGCAGTCACCGTGGAGCACAGCGCCGGAGCAAAGCTGGTGGGGTTGTGCTTCTCTTCGCTTGGCTCGGCCAACCACGAGGCCCAACGACCTGGAAATCATCCCAATCGACCGATGCGAGAGGATGGCCCTGAAGTCTCTGGGTTGTGTGCTTCGTTGACGGGTTGAGAAGCCCTAAGTGCTTCCTCCAAGCCTAGGACCCGTTGAGCAAAAAGCAAATTTCAACTCGTGTCTCGGCGCGCCTTACAGCTCAATGCCCGTCACTGCAGGTTCTGAACCATCCTGACTTCTGCATGAGCTACGCAGACGTACGTCTTTCGCAGAGCGGAACGATGTGCCTGACATAGGGGTGCTGCCGACACTGCGCAGCGCGGTAGGAGAGACTTCCCGCAGCTCCGCGACCCTTGATGCCACCCCCTCGAGTTGGTGGTCCCCTGTTCTTGCACAGACATGTCCATTTCGGTCAGCCAAAGACGACCGCCCAGCAGCAGTCCCACCCACACCTTTTACCCCTGGCACACCACCCCGCAACACGCCTCCACCACCACAAATCACAATCACCACCACCACCACCATCGCAGACCTGCTCAGCTAGCCTGGCGTGCCTGGGCGTCACAAAGGTGTCTTCATCTACGGATATTAGTCTCTTCCAGTCGGCGCACTAAATGAACCAGCGCACTATAGTGGCTCTGTAGCCGCGGACTGGTGACATCCGACCAAGTTTAACTCAGTATGAACCTCAATGCACTATCGAATAGGAAATTCCGCAAGTCCAGCGATGATATCGATGTTCGGATATGGAGAGGAATGGTTTCGAAATCAATACCATCGGTCACTGGTTCGGCGCATACCGCTCATGTCAGTTCTACCTACCCTACATCCATGACCCGGGTGTCAGGCTGGGGATGAAAGCTGGTAGTCTCAAAACAGCATTATACACAGTAGTTCGGTACGGCAAGCCGCATCGCCGGAATATCTGCACAAAGTGGAAGGCGGTTTGATCGACTGTACCCGTCAGATATCTGAGATTCAAGGTACCCATCCTATTGGCTCGAGTTGAACTTATGGGCTGTCAAATCGTCTGGATTATCAACTTCGCAACCAAGTTGAAGCGCGATTTGAGTCGTCACAGCTGCAGGGTCGAAAACCTCTTAGACAAGGAACTGCTGTCACCTTCTTGATTGACCGTTGAGAACCCCAACAGTGCGCCTCAGTGTCGATAGCGCGCAGGCTGTCCTGTCCTATCTGCTGAATTCAAGACCTTCCAATACCAGAAGCCGCAGGTAGGGGTCCTAGCTTGGCGTTGGCGTTGGCACTGCTCTGTTGTGACAACTCTCGGAAGAGCTTCTCGAACATGCGGAAATGCGAAGTGCCGCAAATATGTCGCTCGGCCGCGATTTTGAGTCCAGGCAACGAACACAACGTTAGCCTACATTGAAATGACAAAGCCAAATTTTCGTCATTTCCGTCATTCCGTTATGGCAAAAAACCTGGCGCCAGCCAACCTCTAGGTTGTTTGGAATATCTTGCGCATCGATAAACCCAACGCCCGGATCGGATTGGTGCGCTGAGCAACAACACTCGATTCTGCTCCCGTTGGCGACCAGCTTCATTTCGGTCTCAGACAAAGAGCCCCTAATGAAAAGTCGACAACTTCTTGAATACGGCACAGTAGAGGGGC